TGCTATGGATGAGTTAGTTGATTTAGATACTATTTTTTTCCCTCTTTATTCCTTAATACTTAACAAATACCTTGTTCATGGGACCTTGATTGCTGTCCTTCTTTTTAGTACTTCAGTTTGTGCCTCCGAGTGTGGATACTGGCTTCTGTAACTTCACCCAGCGCATCGAGAAAGGCCTAATGACAGCTCTCTTTGAAGTTAGAAAACACCACCAGGGGACGTATAACCTGACGGTGCAGGTGAGAGTATCACTGAAGGCAGAACGGAGTGCTTTATCCTTTAAAGGGGAAATTATTGCACAGTGTTTCATTTAAGATGTGCTTAACTCTGTTCCCTCCAGTGGAGGAAATTAGGTCACCTGGGCCAGTGTTGATCCCTACCTATGGAGTAGGGTCTGTGTAGCACGAATGGGCTAAGTATCTTTGAGGGCTGCAGAGTAGCTGCTCTCCAGGGAGCTCAGATATGGTGAGCTGAAGACATGACCATATGCCGGAAATTCAAGAACGTTCCAAAAAGGAATGGTATCCACCTACCATCCAATGGGGGATGCCTACATGGACTGGTATTCCATGTTACGGAACACTGTGGGATGGCGTGCTTCACTCTTGACACAGGGTGTAGCTGCCGTCAAAGAGCTGACTTTGTGTATATTGCGGAAACTGCTGATGTTTTTATATTTCTTTCTTCTCCGCTCCATATTCTTTGTTCTATCTTTCTGAAATGCATGTTAAATTTTGGCCCTCCTGGGTCCACCTTCCATGTTTCTTATTTTTTCCTCATATTTTCCGTCTCTTTTATTCTCCATTTGTACAGAATTACCAAACTTTGCTCTCCAAGTCATTAATTTAGTCTTCAGCTGTGTCCTTTATATTATTCAATCCCTCTATTGCATTTTTTTTTAGCAGTCATTTTTTTTTTTCATTGTTTTTTGCTCCTTTTTCACTGTAGCCTGTCCTGTGGGATCATCTTGAAGTATGATGCAATATCACCTTGAAACTCTCTGTGGACATAATTTAGAATTGTAAAAAATTTGTCTTCCATTTCCTAAGTTATCTTGGTTTTCCCTGCAGTCATTTATCTGTGTGTCGATCTTGGTCCTTTGCTTTTGTGCTGTTAGTTTCTATAAATGTCTGGAGAACATTGGTTGGTTGGTTGTCAGGAATGAGGAACCAGCTTGTTTATCTGGGCAGCTCATACGGCTTCCCCTGCAGCTGCAGGGTCTGTTTCTACATCAGCCCGTCTCTTGATGGGAGAGTTCATCAGAGCACTGGGTGCCGGGCAGAATATCCACGTGGGCCTCTCGGCATCTCTCTGGGTGTGGGGTGGGGTCAGAGGCAGATGGAGAACATCCTCTGTCTAATGTCAAGATAAGGAGCCTTTTCTCTAGGGATGGGGTACTTTAGCATGTTTCTCAGGGCAGAGCTGAGAGCTAGCTGGCTGCTTTTTTTTTCCCCCCATCCATTTTCTTTCCTTCTTTGTCTCTTGTGTGCGCTGGAGTTATCTCAGTCTCTGCCCAACTTCTTGCTTAGAGCCTGCACCCACCATAGGTCTTTTAGTCCCCTCGGGCAGGCAATTCTTTTCCCTTGGGGAGCAGTTCTTTGGGCTATTGTGCGTGAAGATGTAGCTGCCGCTGGCACCTCTCTGTTAGGCTGGGTGTGGCAGTTAGGAAGGAAGGGGAAGGTGATCGCCTCAGCTCTTTGGAACACGGTCTCTCAGTTAATTCTACGGATGACCACTCTGTAGCCCACTCTGGGTCTCACTCCTGCTGACCTCTGCCCCAGCGCCCCAGGCCCTCTGGGGGAGAAGGGATCCCAGCTCTGCTGCGGGCAGTGCCGGTGTGTGTTTGGGATCTTAGTTCCCTCAGTTCTGGTTTATATCACTGTCCTTTCTCCATATTCCAGAAGTTTGACAGAATCTCAGGTTTTCTTCCAGTCTCAGTGCTCTTGTGGATTTGTTCCCCTTTGTTCGGCTTACTGTTATTTCAGTGGGATTTGGGGTAGGAGGGAGATGGGGGGACTATAAACACTCATGCTCAGTTCATCCCTCAGTGTAAGAAACATTTTCAATAAACTGAGCATTTAAAGTCTTACAAAAGAAAAGTGAGTTAGAAAGCCAGTTACTCTTCCTTTAAAAACTTTACCTCCCTTTAAAAAATCGGTGAGAGAACTTGTGAGAGAGAGAGCTCACAATCAAGCTTTCAGGTGACTATTTTAATTTATCGTGGAAGCTTATTCTGACTTCATTCTTTCAGATCTTGAATATCACCGTCAGTTCCTCGAGGGTGGCTCCTCGGCGGGGCCCGGTGAATATTATTTTTGCTGTTAAAAGCACGCAAGGATTTCTGAACGGCTCAGAAGTGAGCGAGCTGCTGAGGAACTTGAGTGTGGTGGAGTTCAGTTTCTACCTGGGCTACCCGGTGCTGCAGATCGCAGAGCGTGAGTACCGCGGGCCTTTGGAGCGCTGGCGGGGAGGGGAGGCTGTGGGTACTTTTGTTGGTGGGCCTCTTTCTAAAATTTTGTTTAAAGATTTATTTTTTTTAAGTGCTGTGTTGGGTTTACAGCAAGTGTGATTGGAAGGTTTAGAGATTTTCCCGTATACCCCCTGCTCCCACATATTCATAGCCTCCCCCATTACCAACTCCCCCCACAGTGGCACGTTTGTCACAATCCATGAACCTGCGCTGACACATCACCATCACCTGGAGTCCATGTTTACACGGGAGTTCGTTCTTGGCGTGCTTTCTGTGGGTTTGGGTAAATGTGTGAGGATGTGTATTCACCATTGTGGTATCATACAGAGTATTTTCACTGGGACCCTTTTTTAAAATTTTTCCAGTGTATTTTATTTTATTGACTACATTAAGATGTTGCAGTAGCATCATTTTCTGCAAGTATAATTTAGTATATGTTTTTAAATTTTCAGTTTATTTTAAAATCTTAAAATTAAAAAAATTCTTTACTATTAATCCATCTATGTCTTTATACGTAAAGCGAGTTGGGTCTGGCTTTTGTCCTATGTGATAATCTCTGTTCCTTAACTTGGGTCTTTACATCTTTTACTTTTTTGTTTTAATACATCAATAAATATTTATTGAACACATATTATGATATAGGCATTGTGCTGCTGGGACCTTTTTTTTCAAGGAAATATTGGACTGAACTCTGGGATATAAACCAGATAATATTGGAACTTCTCAGATTCAAGCCAGGGGGTCTCCAGAGCCCTCCTCACTCACTGCACCTGGCTTTATTAGTCTCTTCTGAGAGTAAAGGGGCACTGTTAGAAAGTGCCCCAATTCTGGAAAAGACAAAACTACGGGGATGAGGGCAGCTCTGTGGTTGTCAGGGGTTAAGGGTGGGAGGATGATTGGATGACAAAAAATGCAGCAGAAGGCAATTTTGTGGTGGGGGGATGATGAAACTGTTCCGTATCTTCCTTGTGGCAGCGATTATGCAACTTTATGTATTTATCAAAACTGTATGCCAAAAAGAGTAAATTTTACTGTGTAAATTTTAAAATGAAAGTAGTAAATGAAAACAAACAAAACCTTTCTTCCTGGCCGAAGTAATTAGATTCACAGTGCAAATGCAAGGAGCAAGGGAGAAGGGGAGAATGTTTACTTCAAAACAAAATGAAACAGCCAAGTGGCCTAATGACTTTTAATGTATTTCAGTCTATTGTTAATTAAACTAAAAAGAATAACTTTACGAGTTACTCTATACAAAAGTAGACAGGGATAAAGTTGTTATTTACAAATAGCAACTTTCAGTTGTGCGTGATGCGTGTACATAGTAAGTGTGCCGGACTACAGGGGTGCACCAGGACTGTCCGACAGGCGGCCACTTTACCCTGAGCATTGCTGGGAACGCCTAGAGCTGTGAAGAGCACACGTGAGCACACACTGCTCTGTAACGGTGACATCTAACAGAGAATTCGCAGGTGACCTCTCTGTGCAGCAGTCTCCTGCGATGTGGCTGGAGCCAGCCCTTTATGTCTTCTTGTCCTGTCCCTCTCTTTCTCCTCGAGACCAGTGTGCTCAGAAACGGCTACTCTCTGTGTCTTCACGCTAATCTGGCATTTTGTTCTTTCCTGTTCAAAGCTAAACAGTATAGGAAAAACAATGTGTTGCGACTTTGTCATAAACATGATTTTTTTTTTTAAAACAGATTTTCTCCTTCCCTCTTTCTATTTTGTAGCCTTCCAGTACCCACAGCTCAACTTATCTCAGCTGTTGAAGTCCTCTTGGGTCAGAACAGGTATGTCTAACTTACGTAATGTTTTGGGAACTGTAAGAATAAGAAGTCTGTCTGAGCATATTGAGAAGGATACTGCCTTTCCTGTTTGCTAAATTTAGGGCAAAATGTACCTTAAATTCTTGGCAAAGAATGAATGAGAAAGGGATTCAGATTTGGCTGTGGGAATGTGTCCCACTGAGTTATGGCACAAAAAGGATTGGCTTTCTTTAAAATCATACATCAAGTCCAGGGCAGAGTCTAACAGGAACTGACAATCTTCTGAGCCAGAAACAGGATGAGGTTCAGAAGGAATGATCTTTTTTTTTCCTTCTAAAAGTATTATTTATCTGGTTTAATAAGGACAAGCAAGGTGGCCTGGTGAGCAAATATTAATAGGAAGCTTTTTCTTGTCTTGGGGGACTGGGCCAGATATTCAGAGCTATGACACTGCAGATTAAGGCTTTCTAACCTGGTACACAGAAATCTAATGGATGGTTCTGGGCTCAATGGGTGCCCAGCGTGCAAGCAGCACAGTCACTGGGTGTGAGAGGGAACACGTAGAGTAGCTATAGTCACCATTTATGGGATTCCTCGGCCTTGCAAGTTCTCCTTGCTTAACATACAACATCCTGTGTAAAGACCCCACCTCTTCGGATGGTACATCAGTCTCGTTTTCCAGATAATTTTCATAGCAATTAAGTAACTTGCCCGTGGTTGTATCTCAAAGAGAATTGAAACCAGTTCTGGTTGAAAAGCACATGCTCCTTCCTCCTAGACCACTCTGACAAGCTGATTGTCTTGTAGATAATTTTGCCTAAAGCAGGTAACTGAAGATAGGTACGTGGGCACCCTTTTCTCGGGGAAGTCTGAGTCCAAGTCTTAAGAAAAGATAGGAACTCACGCTATTTCCAGAAGTTTTGGAATAAGTGCAGACAAAATGTTTGATCCTGTGTAGGTGCTCTTAGTTCCAGAGCTCCTGCAGTGCTGAGTTCCTGGGACTTCTGGCCAGCAGTCTGGGTAACGCTCAGAGGTTGGAGCCGTAGATAGACGCACGAGCTGTACTTCCTGGGCTCTCCCTCTCCCTGTTCACTTTTTCCCCTTTTAATGTCTCCTATCTAGGGATTGGCATTTTACAGTAATCCTGCATTAATTTCACCCTCTCTCAATCTCTCTCTTCTCTCTCTCTCTCTCTCTCTCTCTCTCTCTCTCTCTCTCTCTCTCTCTCTCAATCTCTCTCCTCTCTCTCTCTCTCTCTCAATCTCTCTCCTCTCTCTCTCTCTCTCTCTCACTCACTCACTCACACACACGCACCCTTTTTCTTTCCACCCCTGACTTGTTTTGGGTGCTGTGTATGTTTCCTTTTAAACACAGTCCTCCTGGGCGTCGTGGAGAAGCAGCTCCAGAATGAAGTATTTCAGGCAGAGATGGAGCGCAAGCTGGCCCAGCTGCTCAGCGAGGTGTCCACCAGAAGGCGGATGTGGAGGAGGGCCACCATCACTGCAGGGAACAGCGTGGTACAGGTACTCTAGGGGCTCAGAGGAGGAGGGGAAGGGGAAAGGGAGATAGCCAGCCAGCGTGTACGCAAGCCATCTAAAAACCTGTATTTTTATGCAAATGGGAAATGCCATGAGAAATTCTGATTTTGACTGATTGCTATATTAGATAGCAACTGAATTGGCATCATATCAGTTCAGCTAGAGTCTAGACAAATTATTTACCAAGCCCTTAGTAAGTAGCTGGTATAGCAGTGGGCCTTGGGCAATATCGTAGAAGAATTGTGTTACTGGGTTGCCATGCTATCGCATGATCTTGTTTTTTAAAGAGTAGTTTTTTAATTAACAAAAATGTAGCCTGTTTTATGGAATGGTAAGTACTGTTGATAGCGTTGTCGAGAGAAGTCATTCAGCTGGAAGAGACCTGAAGAGATCAGAAAGAGGGAAACTCTCTGCCCACCATTCTAGCATTTCATTTCTCTCTGCCTCCTGCCAACCTGGTTGTCTCATCTTACCCCAAAGCTTCTTCACTTCGGTAAACTGCAGACAGGCTACAAAAGACAGATTTGTTTGAATTGAAAAGTGACCCATTTAAAGTGCGCATACTCCCAGAAACTTGGAGGTTGGGGACGTCATTTATTTCCATCCCCGTATGACTTATGTGGATTCTTTTTCTTTACCAACTGCTGACTTGTCGAGCTAGGAAATGGGATGTTTAGAGCTATGGCATTTCAGAAACAAAACACCAGGGTAGAACTCTGAAGGGCAGGGTGTGGGCTGGCAGGCAGGGTTGGGAGGTGAGTGGGTAAGAGACCTTAGAGAAAAAGATGCATTACCAGGTGTGGGGGGCGTGGTGGTTTCGCCTAGAATTGCGACCTCATTCTCCAACTCTTCCAAGTGTTTCCCTCTCAGCATTACTCCATGTTCCCCCTCCCAGAAACATGGTGCTTAAGTTTCTAAAATAGTTCCTTTGTCAGATGCAGTGAGTTATAGAGAAATTTGAGAGTAAACAAAGAATAAAAATTAAAATAAATTGTAGTATAAAAGCTTTGCCTTATTCAAAGGCTATGAAGTTCTAGCTTCATAGAGCTCAGGGTGTCTGAGTGTGGGCTAACTTATGCCATAAAACAGCTATAGGGCACCACAAAACTGTGTAATATGGTGCTAAATTAGATACACAAGCTCCCTAAGTAAGGATACGGATTTATGAAAGTTAACTGAGCTGTCCAGGTGCCGTCTGACAGATTACTTACAAGCTGTACTCTGCTTCTCTTCCCCCTTCAGAGTGACTACACATGAAGGTGTAGACAAGGATTTGTGTATAACACTATAAGGCTTTGCATTGAAAAATAATTTGTAAGAGTGAAAATGTTGAAACACCCTAGGTGTCCAGTATTTGGGGAATGTGTAAATAAGTTATAGTAAATCTGTACATGTTGGAATATTATGCAGCCATTTAAAAAAATTAATGGTATAGAAAAATGGTCAAGTGAAGAGAGGCTACAAGAGGATGTATGCAACATAATCCAAATATTAATATAGAATTCATGGGAAAAAAAGAATGGAAGGGAATATGCCAAAATGTTTGCAGTGATTTTCTTCAGTTGGTTGAATTTCAGGTGATCAGGTGAGTTTCATTTTATTCTTTGTACTTTTTTACATTCGTTTTTCAAAACTTCTCCAGTGGGCTATATAACTTCTATAGAGACATGTGATTTTAGTCAGAAAGTAATTTTAAAAATGAAATTGAAGATGTTAGCCAAAGTGATGACTCCATGATACTAGGGTTATATGGTCCAGATATGAATCTGATTAGCAGTCACCTAGAAAGGATGCTGGAATTAGATTTTACTGACTGACTTTCACACTAGATGTCTTAGTCTGCATGTGTTGCTGTAAATGAATACCTGAGGCTGGGTGATTTATAAAGAAAAGAGGATTATTTGACTTGGGGTTCTGCAAGCTGTACAAGAAGCCTGGTGCTGGGTGATTTATAAAGAAAAGAGGGTTATTTGGCTTAGGGTTCTGCAGGCTGTACAAAAAGCGTGGCGCCAGCATCTGCTTCTGGTGAGGGCCTCGCGCTGCTTCTGCTCACGGCAGAAGGCCACGGGGAGCCACGTGTAGCGATCACATGGCAAGAGAGGGAGAGAGAGAGAAGGTGTCAGGCTCTTTTTAACAACCAGCTCTCTCGGAAACTAATAGAGTGAGAACTCACTCATGATTCTGGGGAGGGCACCAAGCCATGCAGGAAGGATCTGCCCCCAGGACCCAAACACCTCCCACCAGGCCCCACCTTCAGCACTGGGGATCAGATTTCAACATGAGCTTTGGAGGAGACAGATATCCAAGCTATAGCCCTGGACAAACTTGTAGAATCTTGAATCAAAGTGGGTATCACTGGATATTTGAGATTGTGATTTATATAGGAAAAAAGCATACTTTAAAAATTTATCAGAACTTTTCAATGGAATAGGTAGATAGGCACATAGGTAGAGGGGCAGGTGGATATAATCTGCTTCCTTTTCAGTAGCCTTTAGATAGTGTTCCGTTCTAAAGGCTGGTGAAAAATCAGTCACCGCCGCGTGGGTGTGCGGGAGGGCGCAGGTGGTTGGGGAAGAGAAGCGATCAGGGAGCCGGCCTTGAGACAGCAGCCAGAGGGCAAGATAAACGCATCCTTCTCAGGATGAAATATAAAAACAGATTCTCAAGGGATGAGAGTTTGGACTGTGTTGTTAAGGATCCTTAGACATGATGTGGAAGAAGGAGTTCACAGTGAAATCTTGAAATTGTTGATTTGTCAGAAGTTTCCCATGGCGAAGGCGGAGTCCAGCAGCTGTGTGCAGAGCAAGGGTCGTGTTACAGATTGTACACGCCAATGGCAAATGTAGAGACCAACAATTTAAATGGCACATGTGAAATAAAGGGCTCGGAGTCATTGTTGATCCTTTTCTCAGGAAATCAGTCCAGTGTTTTTTGCTGGAGTCTAAAGGGACTGTAAAATTGTTGCACAGGTGGGTGCATTGGCTCATGCTTGTATGGGAGGCCGAGGCTGGAGGATTGCTTGAGACTAGCCTGAGCAACAGAGTGAGACCCCATCTCTACAACATTTTTAAAAAAATTTAGCTGGGTATGGTGGTACACGCTTGTGGTCCCAGAGATGATTGGACCACTGCACTCCAGCCTGGGTGACGGAGTGAGACCCTGCCTCTTAAAAAAATTGTTGCATAGTATTAAGAGAAACAGCAACAAAATAAAAAGCTATATTTATGCAAAACTGTGATATGTCGAATGTACTAGATTTTGAAATACTGATTTCAAAGGACTGCTTTTTAACACCAGAGAGAAGTTTTGGGCTAAATCAAAGTACTATTTGACCCACAAGATTACAAATTTATGAGGTCTGTTATCCTTAGACCTACTGGTTCTCAGCTGGGGGTAGGTAATTTGGCCCTCCAGGGCACATTCTGGCAGTGTCAGGAGACAATTTGGGTTGTCACGTTGGGTGGTGCTGGGAGGGGCACTTGCCGCTGGCGCCTGGAGAGCAGAGGAAGCTGCCAGCCACGCTGCAGTGTTCCCCACGGCTAGGAATCATCTGGCCCAAAATGTCAGTGAAGCCGAGGTTGAGAAACCCAGCCCTGGAAGAATAAGGAGGACGTTCTAATAGACTCGAGGGATCGGGTAGAACCACTAATGGTTTCAGAGAGCCAGCGATGGACCTAACCCTACGGTGAATGTTGGGGAATGACATGGTAGGCATGTCGGAGGCTACTGGTGACAACTCTGGCCCACCTGGACTCGCCAGCCCTATGTTCCGCATATCCTGCTTGTCCCTTTTTCTCAGAGAAGATGTCAAGCAAGACAAGGGACATCTGTTGTTCTGTGTGGAGGAACTTTTGTTTTAACTGTCCCTCTTCCCATCCAGAGAGAGCATCATGGTGATTCTGGGGCCCCGAATGGTGTAAGGAGCTTATTATGAGGATTGGAATAAATCCCGAGTGACACAGTCGGGATTAAGTGACCTGGGAAAGGGCATCTGGAAACACGAGCTTCTAGAATGCTAACGGACCCTGTTATCTTTCAGGTGGTGAATGTGTCCAGGCTAGAGGGAGACGACAATCCCGTGCAGCTCATCTACTTTGTGGAGGATCAAGACGGAGAGAGACTGAGCGCCGTCAAGTCTTCAGATCTGATTAACAGGATCGATCTCCAGAGAGCGGCCATCATCTTGGGTTACCGGATTCAAGGCGCTATTGCCCAGCGTAAGTCCGTGACTTGTCACCGTCTGGGCTTTGCTGGCTCCGGGACAGTTTGTCCTGACAGTGAGCTCCGACTTTAACTCGTTCTGATGTGTGTATAACCCTTGTTACGAGTGGCACTCACATAAGGATGCCAGTTGTTAAAATTCATTCGCCAAGACCTTCTTTACGGTGGATTTCAATCACTTGGAGTTGTCGCCTGCACTATTTTTCCTACCTCGCATTTTGTGTTTGTGGTGCTATAGCGATTTATAGTGCCTTACATCAACGTTAACATCCATCCCCACGCCTGTACTGTTTCTCTTTGTGGAAATTTTGTCCTAGGTAAAATAATGTGTTTGTTCTGTATTTCTTCCAGAACCTTCTATGTCATATGTTGAACGTTGGTGGGGACAGTGAGTCACGCAGGAAGCTGGGAGGTGCGCTCTGGGTTTATTGGCTTCCTTCAGGGCCTTTTAACACAAAGAGGTCCTTGATCCTTACCCTTTTCAATCCTCTTTCTCCCCACCCTGTCCTCGCACCAATCCACAATTCGGAAAGAGGTATTTTGGTATTTCTTTATTATTGTTGGAAGGTCTTGGCTCCCGCCCGCCCGGCAGTGCCTGCTCCCAGTACCTTCTCTTCCAGCTCAGATTTTGGTTATTTAAAATCAAGAAAAAGGAGAGGCATGGAAGAGTGTATTTCTCTAAATATACCTTTATGAGTAAGACTGCTATTTTAATGTGGACGTTTTTCCTTTATGATCCAGAGAGCTGTCCTTGAAAGAGCACATTGAAACTTGCTCCCAATAAGAAATACATGTTTAGAAGGAATTCAGCATTGGGGAATATTGAAAAACTCTTTACAAGGCCGGGCGCGGTGGCTCACGCCTGTAATCCTAGCACTCTGGGAGGCCGAGGCGGGCGGATTGTTTGAGCTCAGGAGTTCGAGACCAGGCTGAGCAAGAGCGAGACCCCGCCTCTACTAAAAATAGAAAGAAATTAATCGGAGGACTAAAAATATATGGAAAAAATTAGCCAGGCATGGTGGCGCATGCTTGTAGTCCCAGCTACTCGGGAGGCTGAGGCAGAAGGATTGCTTGAGCCCAGGAGTTTGAGGTTGCTGTGAGTGAGGCTGACACCACGGCACTCACTCTAGCCCGGGCAAAAGAGTGAGACTCTGTCTCAAAAAAAAAAAAAAAAGAAAAACTCTTTACAGAGAACATGTAGGAGACAAAGGCAGTTTTTAAAGAATGACAGCTTTGAAATTATCCTTGGTAGTAGAAGGTTCTTTATGAAACTGATACTTCTCCCTGGAGGCTAACCAGGACGAGGGCTGATTGACACTTTCTTTGTTTTATGGAAGATGATGGGAGAATTTAAGCAAATAACCATTGGCAGTTTGTGTTATGTATTTGAGATGTGACTGCATGTTAGTGTGTTCTCTTCCAAAGCAGTGAGAAAAAAGTTAACAAAAGCACTTCCTTACGTTTCCTCATATGTGACATTTCTGATTGCTGGAGAGGTGGCCTGCTCTAGCCACACACTTGAAGGTTTAAAAAAGATTCATTGCAGTAGGATATGGGCACCTTTCAAACCTACTTCCGTCTGGTCTTGCACCTCTCTTTCCCTAGTTTTGTACTAAAAACCGCATGGGAGCAATCCTGGGATTCTGGGGTTAGTGGTAGAGGGAAGCCTCCACCAGCACCAGGGCCAGCCCAAGGGCAGCCCCGAGGACACGGGTGTCAGGGCCTGGTTTGATCTATCTCTGCCTCTCCAGGGTTTTGCTGGGTTAGAACTAAGAAGTGTCCAGTTGTCTCAGATCTTTGGTTTGATTCTGTCGCTACTTCTGTATTGTCAGTTGTTTCTATGCAAAATGAGCTACATATGTAAAATATATTCAGGCCAAATTAAAAAATACAAATATTTAGCACTTTGCCACTTTTTGCCATGTCCCATGCAGTCTTTGCTCTAATTTGTGCTTTTTTTACAGTGCATTTGGTTTAGAATGCATGCTTTCTCCCTTGTCACTCTCTCGGGGGTCTAAACCCAAATTTAAACCAGCACCAAGTATCTTTTTTGTTGTTCTGTCTTTGAGCGGATGCATTCTGATCCCATAGCAGGTATTCACCATCACAGGATGTGAAAGGGGTGTAAGACTTAGTCCCTGCACGTGACAACTAAGATGTATTTGCAAAGCCAAGGCTTGGCGTCGTGACCAGATTAATGAGCAAAGCAGTGTAGTGTATCAAGACGATCCATTTATATAATAAGAGGCATTTTAAAAGAGTAATAAGGTGCCATTTGCAAAACAAAGACAAGAACAAAAGAGTAACTTGGACAAGGGAGAAATTGGCATTGTCATGGGGAAGTTTTTATCAAGTGGCCTTCATGGCTGAGTTAGAGAGAAGGGGGCATTTGGACGACTGGAGCCCAAGTGGGAGAAGCCGGTGAGCCTTAGGGGAGGGATTCCTGCGAGAGATGAGCACAGAATGCGGCCAAGGGAGGGTGCGGGAGGAGGAACAGGTGGAGGACGCTGAGAAGGAGCTGAAGCGTGATGCTCTAAGGCCATGAGAGGGGAGGGGCCCACAGGGTGGGGTGGGCGTGGCAGTAGGGGGAGAGTGGTGCATTCAAAATGAGTAAGATTTGCTTTCATGGAATTTAAAATTTGACAACTGGTCCCTTAAATAAAGCAGTTTCGATGAAAAGCCACGTGTCAAAGGTTTAGGAAGGGACACAGGTCGGGAGATGAAGGCAGTGCCTATAGGCCACTTACGAGGACTTAACTGTCCAAATTAACACCATGAAGCTTCATGTAGAAAAACTTAAGGATCGTCATTTTGTTATTGTGGTGATATATTTATCACATGCAATTTTACCATTTTAACCACTTTTAAGTGTCCCGTTCAGTGGCATCAAGTGCATTCACGACATCGTGTCCGTCACTGCTGTCCATTAAATAGTAATGCCTCCTTCCCCTTCCCCCAGCCCCCGGCAACCACTGTTCTTTCTGTCTCTGTGAGTTTTTTCCTAGATACTTCACATAGATGGAATCACACATTTGTCCTTTTGTGATTGGCTTATTTCACTTAGCATGATGTTTCCAAGGTCCATCCATGTGGTAATGTGTATAGAATTTCCTTCCTTTTAAAGCCGAATGACATTCCATTGTAAGAATATACCACATTTTGTTTATCTATTCGTCTGTTGATGGAACATTTGGGTTGTTTTCATCTTTAGTGGCTATTCATGTAATGAACGTTGGCATCTTTATCATCCTTTTAATTGCTAAAGTGGAAATAACCAATTGCATTTGTGCTCTTGTTTTATCTCCTTACTGTTTTGCTTAGCACTAGTATTCTATGAAATTGTTTAGTGGTTCATTTACTTCATAATTTTCCCTTTCCCCCACTAGAACCTAAGCTCCTTGAGGGACTCTGCTTGTTCATTGTTGGGTCCCAACTTTAGAACTGTGTCTGGCACGCTTAATAAACATTTGCGAACCAGAGAAACTGAATAGTGAGGGAAGGGCGGAAGGGTTTTCTTCCACAAACCTAGTTCAGACTCGTGTACTCTTGCACAGTTGGGAAGGGCGTGGTTCCTGTTGACGTCATGCAGTGGTTGGAACTGTGTTCTGGAGGAGTAGCTGCTTTTCCCTTACTTTTCAAGAGAGCCTCTTTTGTACAGAGTTGTACAGAACCATTTTTGGTATGGAAACATCCTGCAGTGGGAGTTTAGGGATGATCTAGGAGAATATGCTGGAAGTGAGGAGACCTGGAATTAACCTGGCTTTGCCATTACATTAGCCACATATCTTAAGATACATCATATCTGTCATTGTGACCCCTGATGTATCCGAGATGTAACATTGTACGTTGTGTTTGTTTGCTTGGTCGTGTTTCCTGTATCAGAAGATTATAACCTGTAACCAGGCGGCTGGAGCTGAAATATTAGGGCTTTCCAGGTTTTCATAGAAGAAGACAAATGCAGTTCAGTAAGTGAGTTGAGAAGGAATTACTGAAAGACCTTTCTTCCTTTCCTGCAGCTGTGGACAGGGTGAGGAGGCCGTCTCCGGAGTCCCAGAGCAACAACCTGTGGGTCATTGTCGGTGTGGTCATCCCGGTGCTGGTGGTGACGGTGATCGTCATCATCCTCTACTGGAAACTCTGCCGCACGGACAAGCTGGACTTTCAGCCTGACACTGTGGCCAACATCCAGCAGCGTCAGAAGGTGAGGGGCAACCCCCGCAGTGTTCCCCTGAGCAGTCTTGCGGCGCAGGGATGGAAGGAGTTTGGGCTGTTAAGGAAATCCTCTGGCTTTAATGGGGTTGTCCCTTTGCCTTCATATCTGCCTCCTGAAACCCCAGTTCTTCTGTAGTAGTAAATATAGTCCAAGAACACGAAGCTGTGTAGAAGCTTAGATGTGATACGAGCTCCAGGGTTCTCCTGTGATTTTATTTTTGAGAGGATCAGGTGGAAGATCACATCCATTCTGTATATGAATTCTGATCTGTTTTACCCCTGGATATTTTCGGAGAACAAGAGCCAAGGGAGGTTTCCTCAGATCTGTGGATCTGTCCCTTTCTTACGCAACTCCATTGGACAGCTCCTTTATTTTCTGTCCACCACATTGGCCGCCCACTTATGCACCCCGATTAAGACCACTTCATCATTAAAAACTGGCGACACATGCCTTAAGCATTTTAACTTAAAGTAGATGAGTGGACATTTATTTGCCAATCTTTTGATGTATCCTGAGTCATCTTTTGTTTTGAGTGTTGGTCTGCTGAGCGGAATTGCATATGGTCTTTCTTGTAATCAACGACACCCATAACGTATCAGCTGCAGTTTCTAGTTTGGGTTTCTTTAGAGAAGAGCAAAACCATCTGAGTGCAAAATTCTCCAGATCTTTTCAGTACCTCCCCTCCGCCGACTCTGCAGACTTCTTGAGTTAATTCGCCTACACCTAATTTAACAGCAGATTTTTTTAGCAGCCCATCTTTCATGTGTCTTTCCAAAGCATTCAACTTAGTTTTTATAGAAACAGCCATTCTCTTTTCACACATGTGATTCAGCAGTTTCCATAATATTTGACTGTTATATCAGGTTTCAGAGCACAGAAACTGACTTTTGGTCAGCATCTAGCTCACCCGATAGGAGCAAAAACGTGCCAGAGGACCAGAGGGAACACACTAGCTGCAGACAGCACAGCGTGAATGTCTGTGTGTTTACCAAGGGAGTGGAAAGTGGTCGTCAGTCTACTGTGTTTATTAACACGTACCCTCTGTGGCTCTTACAAATTAGAGGACTCACTCTGCTCTAAAAGTTTGATAAGAACATGCAAGCAAAGGCAAAAGAACAAGGAGTAAAGGATTGCCCTGTTAACTTTTTGGTTTTATTTTCATTGTCTTGGTATAAAAAATTCTGCATATTGTAAACCTAGACCTGTTGAATGAAAAAAACAGGTAACATTTTAAAATTTATTTTACTTTTGTAAAAGTAAATGAAGAGTATTTTTTCTTATGAATTAACCAAGAAATGCAAAATCTTGATTAAGTTGCAAGCTTATAGCTATCAACTATATTAGAGGCATTTTATACATTAATATTATATTTGTTACCTGTCTGTATTAATTATTTACATAGTCTGCTAAGGTTGTTTTTTTCTTACACTAGTGAATGGCATGGAAAAAACCTGGAGAAAAGGGCTTGATATATACTAAATGATTCATAGTGTGAATTTCATTGTAATAAGATCAGCAATGAATTTGGAAGTGTTTTTGTTCTGATGAAAGAGTGTTGTTACAGAGAGAGTCAGCCAGTCTAGATGGTTATGTATTTATGTCTTTTATGGTCCATATTTCCTGACATAAGCACTCCTTGTAGAAGTTCATCTATTACCTGTTACTTCAATAAACTATTAAGGGACAGCATCTCTTGGGTTCAAAACAGTATATTCCCCAAGCTTTCTCCTTTTCTCACTTTTACTTCCGAAACATTTTCATATCCCAGATGTGGCTGTAAATAAAATGGGCAGAGTTTCAAATAGAACTTCCAGCCCTTGGAATTGCTCTCCTTCTTCTGGTGCTATGAGGATCCGTGCATACATCTTTACAGCGTCTTTACGGGAAAAGTCTTCTGCATGGAGGACTCCTCGAAAGAATAACTGTCTTCTGACACTATTAGGAGGGCAAAACTTCGCCAGTGTTGCAGAAGCTTGGTCTTTTTGTGCTGGCACAGTAAGCCACTGTATAGATCTTGTGTTTGTAATGAGAAAATGATGATCTTCATTTAGTTTAAAAACAAACATCTCTACTTCATAAGTGTTTCTTCTAAGGTTATGTGGCCGTAGAGAAGGGCCTCCAGCCTCTTCGTCAGGGTAATGTGCTGAGATGCCATCCTCCCCGTCACTGCAAGACTCTTTCTCCTGCGTGTGTGGCTCTGTTTTCTCTGTCTCCATTCTGCTCACCCCACCCCCGATGCGCCGCACCACTACTCTCTGAAATCCTTTAGCAAATCCCAGAGCTGCAAACATCTGGAAACAATAAATCTGCTGACCTAAAATCCACACTCCCTTCCCCTTGTACCGAGAAGGAAACCTCTTCATATTGTCTGGGAGTGGATTAATTTTGAAATATGATAAGAGGGAAAGGCCATCCTATCATGTTTTGAGGCAGGGCCTTATCTTATTTCCAATAATAAAGAAAAGAAAAAAGCCCACGTATGTTCCTTTTCTGTGTATTCTCTCTAATCTGTAGTCCAGAGTCATCATTTGTTACTCTTGCCTAAAAAACTCCAGCTTGGATCCTCATCACCGTGAATGGCATTGGCTGGATGCTGCTGGCCCCAGGGAGCTTGTTCCTGCTGGTGGGGACAGTCCCACACCTGGTTCTTGGCACAAGGTGGTGGCTCTTGACCACCCTCGGCTACTCCTAAGGACAGCACCGCGGGCAGCCAGGTGGAGCTGCCTCGGACACTGGGCATCACCCACCAAACACCGAGCATTTGCCCTGAGCCAGGCAGAACCAGGCTAAGTTGCAAACACAGACAGCATGTGGTCTCTGCCTTCGAGGGCTTTAGCAGGGGAGAAGGACATCCAGGAGGGTCAGAACGTGCAGGAGTTGTGGGAGCACAGAGGAGGGACAGCACCCTGCTCTCAGTGGTGGAGCACCTCCACCTGCTGAGAGGAGCTGACTTGGGGCTGGGGCTGAGGCTTCAAGGTGGAGGAGCTGAAGCCAGAGGAGACCGGCCCAGCAGAGGGAACAGCGAGGAGCTCGGGAAGGCTGGGGCAGAGGTGTAAGGAAGGGCACAGCCAAAAACCAGGCAGCAGAGAGCCAGGCCCTGGGAGGTTTTCAGGACATGGAAGGGATTGGCAATTATGCTGTGAGCTGTGGGCAGCCATTGAAGGGTTTTCAGCAGGGAGAGCCGCCCAGACATACTTGTGTTTGCAGTGGTCTCCTTGGGAGGCAGAGTGGACAGTGGACAGGCTCGATGAGCACTTCTTGCTTCTCAGCGAAGTCCAGCTCTCAGGACCCCCTTAGCACCTGACGTGTGGGTGGTTTCAGTTCACCCACAGCCGCTGACCATGCCTCGTGTGGCCTGTGGGTGAGAGAAGTCGCTGAGCTGCACTGAAGACAAACAGATGGCAAAAACTTTGCCTGGTCTTCACCTTCTCAATCGAAACAGCATGGCGGTTACAGCAATTTTCCACAGATTACATCAATCAGATGGTAAATGCTTACACTGGCCCTTCTTCATGATGGCACGATGGCAGACACTTTCGAAATCTGCTTTGTGTTTCTGTTGCCATCTTAACTGCTCCTTCCCAGGGGGTCAGGCTAACGTTGAGTCCTGGGATGTCGCTGTGTCTCCTGCCATCTGGGCCTTACTATATTTAGGGCCCACGTGTTGACATCCATCAGGCATCTCCCTCGTCACTTGGCCGACCTGCCCACCAGCCTCCCTGACTTGTCGGTGGCGTATTCCAGTGGGGCACAGTGTGGCCTGTCCCTTCTGTGATAGATTAAAGAAAGAGAGAACAAAAGAGCCATCCTTCTTCAGAAATAACTCGGTCCTAATGTGAATATTGAAGACTCTAATTCATCTTGGCTCTTCTGAAATACTGATGGAAGCCTGTTCTGCATGTGGAAGCTGGAGACACCATACCAGCCAGACTTAACTCTAGATTTTATTTTAAAAGAAATGGAGAAACGAGAAAACATGGTCGAGAAAATCGGGATGAAACAAAAGGAGCTAATTCCATAGTTGGGGTGGGGGAAGAGCAATGTTCCCTTTAATTTTTTCCCTCTGTGTATAGCTGGCTTTTGTTTTGTGCATAAACACAGGTTAGTTGCCAAATTTCCATTGTTATAGAAGGTGATGACTCACCCAGCCAGTGAGACGTACAAGGATCTAATGGATGTGTTTAATGATGTTAGTCGGAATCAACAATAAGCCAAAAGGACTTACATATTTCATTTGTGACATATGCCCTTTCCTTGGCTCCCCATAAAATCCAGTAAGTTTGGTGCTTCGCCTGACCTTTTTGAAATTCATTCAGTCATGAGATATTTATTGAGGGTCTACCATGTGTCACATCCTGTTGACTTACAAAATATTGTACCTAAATTCGCAATTATAGCTATGTCTGATGCTTGAGGACTCTTAGCTATTCATATTAACTGCTTGATCCTTTGTCAACCAACAGCGATAATAATGCCGTCAATCACATTTGTATGGTACTTTGGCATTTATGAAGCATTTTCACATGTATATTATCATGTTTGTTTCTTACGTGAGCCCTGAGAGTTTGTCAGGGAAGGCATTTAGGGCCTAGACTTGGGCTAGGCAGCCTGCACTACAGTGGCAGTAATGCTTGTATTTTTACGTCATTCACTCTGGAGACCTTTGCCTAGAGGAGGCCATCGGTATGTAGCACCCTCTTCGATTTCGTTAAAGCAAACTGCCTAACTTGTAAATGAGATTGTTGCCCAGTCATTAGAAGCATTCACTGTCTTACTGGGAAATATACCAAAAAGGATTTTAGCAAGATTTCTAAAATGATGGTGGTGATGATTAAATGACTGTTGATTATGTCCATTAGTCTTTCACTGAGAGGCACTTTGTTTATGCGGCTAAAATGAGGTGCAGCTGGGGTCAAAGCAACCCCATACAATTGGAAATTGCTCATTTTAGGATTTTTATTGTCAGCTTTGAATATTTGGTGTCCAATTTCAATTTTTTCTGCCTTCTTAGAAAACAGATGGACACTTGAGAATTATGTAGCTGGATTAGTAATTGCGTTGCTAGATGAAAATAATATTTATAATTATGTATTTCATAAATTAGGACAGCATATCAAAGTCTGAAAGAGAGGACTCCACCCTAATCATACGGTGCAGGTTTTTTAAGGTTCAGGAGTTGCCTCCTAACTGGCCTAATTTTTCCTCTGCCTGCACATACATAGATGCTTTGCTTTTAATAGTGTGGGTGAATCTTTGTGGAAATTTATAACAAAAGAGGAAAAAATATTGAGCTTGTAGGTATGGGGTTTACAAAAGGCACATTGATGATTGCTGGTAAGTACGTTATTTTTGGTAGAACCCAAACATGATGGTGTGTGGTTCATCTAAATCTAATAAGCACTTGGGGATAACAAATAAGCATAGAAGGGGTTACGCGGGACAGTGAGCTAGAGACTTGCATTCAAGGGACCCAAACACAGACTTGCAGTATCCAGTAACCGTTTGAAATAGGTTAATGAAAATATGCCGCAAGTCCAAGTAAATGTTCGAGAGAGTATATAATACTATCTTAGCTCCATTATTTGTTCCTTTGATTTGAAGTTACAATTTTGATCTTTCAGCAGTAAACATGGACATTTCACTCCTCTTTCCTTTTGATGCAAAAATACGGTTTTAAGACCCAGACTGAGACGCGGTGAACAAGGGTGCTTGCCACGCCCTTTCGTTGCGGAGAATGGTGCACTGCCGTACTTCTTGGCACACTGTTGTTTCCAGCACACTGTCGAACAGGTCTTGAACCTTCCGCTTCTGAGACAGATAAGCACAGGGCCTTGTCATGAGCTTAGCCCCTGGACGGCATGAGACGGGGCCTTTGGGATTTCTCGCTGCCGAGCTCTTCGCTTTGTTCTCGGTGGACTTTCCTGCGGGGTGCAGTGTTCTCTGGTGGTTGGGAGATGGTAGAGGTGAGGCCGGCAAATAAAAACATCACTGCCTTTCTGTCCCCTCCACAGAACATCTGGATTCACATCCTCCCAGCAGGGGCCAGATTATCCTGTTTCTTGGCTACATTTCTGCCTTATTTCTTTAAGGGAGAGAGAAAGGAAGCCACACGGCAAGTTTATTGTGCCTTGATTAAGGGGGTCTGCCAAGACCAGCGTTTTGAATTATCTTTTTACTTGGTACTCTGGAGGTTTCTACACCTCTAGACAGAGCGCCATAGGAAGCTGCTGCGTGGGCTAGAGGAGGGGGCCTCTCCTCTGTAAGTGGCAGCAGGACTGTTGGGAAGGGGAAGGCAGGAGGGGAGCCAGCAAGCTGCCCAGTCCGCAGGCGCACGCTCTGCTCCCAGGAAAATCTGTGCAGGTAGGAGTGTGTCCAGAGGTGCATCTGGCATTTGATCCCCTTAGAAGGGCTGCCTACTCCTAGGAAGGTGTGTCTTCCCCCAGGGCTTCGATTAGACCGATTGAAGCTCACTCTGCTGGTCCACATCTGGGATGAGGAAATTATACGGGTGGGGGGAGTGGTGGAGGAAGCCATGGAGCGGCAGGTTTGGGTTCATCGTTTGCAAAATAGCGTCCCCAAGCTCACAGACAGCCCAAGTGATGGGGTGGCCTGCTCCTGTAATGTGAGCTAGCGTGAGCTCATTAATCAGAAAATACAGGCGCGTCAGTCTTTGCCTTTTGTTTCCAAGCAAGATTTGGTAAACTGTATTTATGGTAAGTTTTGTCCCCCTCTGCTGGTGTAAATCTTTATTGCAGACTACTTTCCTTCTACCCATTGATCTAGTTTTTTAATGTTAAAAAGCCTTGGGTCACAAACCTAAGCCACTGGTGTTGCAGTGCATTTGTGCAAAGTTCTCACAAATGCGATGAAAGCTTTTGCTTCTGTGCGTAGCATATTATCTAAAATCACTTCTGTCTGTTTGGCCTTTGTCTTGTGCGGGATAGGACTCTGTGGGTGTGGATACAGCCTGGCCGGGGGCTTTGGTCTGCCTGCCGCACTCCTGCTGAGGAAGCCTCCGGACGACTGTTTATGTGTAGTTTATTCTCCTGTACCCTGGAAGCTCCAATTAAGGAAGCTGTTAATACCCACCCCTGGCACTTTTAGTGTCATCAAAAATGTCACAAAAAACGGTGCCATCCTGTCCACACTTCTGTGTACCTTCAGGTGTCTTTCCTGTCTTGCCACAGGCCTAGAAGCTGAGGCCTGGAGTCTAGTTGCAGGCCCATGGGGTCTCGGTCGTGGGTTTGGTGTTGGCTGCAGCTGTGTGTCCCTGGGGAGGGCTCCTGCATCTGCCAGTGTGAGTGGGGGACCTTTCTTGAAGACCCTTTTCTCCTGCTTTGTGCTTCATTATGTCTACTGACCACTCCTTTCTAGAACTTCATTTATTCCCTTGGCTTCTATTACATTGAACTTTCCAAATTCTTCTGTTTCTTTGAAGTTATATTCTATTTTCTTCCTTGCTTTCTTTTCCTCTTCTTAGCCCCAGACTACTAGATGTTCTCCAGCACTACCCATAGAATCTGTATTCATCCTGAAAATGCCAGCTCCCCTCCGTGGCACCTTCTGTACAGATGGCTCTCAGAGTCACCTCTCAGCCTGAAAGTTCCCCCAGCTGTGGTCCTCCATCTCCAGCTACATCAAGCTGTCCTTTGAGGCCTTCCCTGTCATCTCAAACTAAGCGACTTTAAAATCGTTTTGTCTCCTCAAGTCATCATTCCTTCACGACTCACCCGTTTCCCTAATGTCACTTCTACTGTTGAGGATACCCTGCCTAAAATGATTAAATCGTCGGTGGCTTTCTCTTCCTTTGCCTCTTGTGTCTGTTCAGCTTCTAGGTCTTTCTGCCTGATTTCTAGAGCTGTTTGTTCCTTCTCATTTTCATTGCAAAGATTTTGGGCTCAGGTCTTTGTGATTTCATGCACGTGGTATTGCTAGACCCTATTACTGGCCCCTTGGTGTCCTGTCTCCTTGGATTTTAGAAATCTGCCTGTTTTGAGATATATAGTGGGTTTCTAATGGGCCAGAGGGCAAGCTCCAGAAGGTGGCATTTTTGGAGTCCTCTGTATACAGGCTGGACTTCTCTGTCACGGTGTTACGTTCTGACTCATCTAGTGCGGCTGATTTGATCTCTTCCCAGGCCTCGAGTATTCTCTGGTCTCTGACACGATCCCATGCTCGTTGTAGCCCCCTCTTTATATTTCCAAGTCCTATGTGTCCCTATGCCCTAGCTCAAGTCCCCATTTCCCTGTAAAGAGTATCTCGTCCCCACCACTGTCTCTGGACTTGCATGGCACGTGGTACGCTACTGTGACAGGGTCAGGTGTTATCTCGGAATGTCTTTTGTATTGTGTCCGGCTATTTAATCCTTGTACTCTCGTTGAGTCTTTCACAAGTGTCTGTCTTCTCCGCAAACTCTGGGGATAAGCAGAACCTTGCACACAGTCGATGTTTTAGAGCTGCTCGTTGACTCGAACAGGTGGAGTTGCCAGTACAGTCTTGGGTCAGATGATGGGCTCCTCTTGTCACCCTCAGATTTCGGATTATTGATCTTGTGCGTGTGTGTGTTTTAGCTGCAGATCCCTAGCGTGAAGGGCTTCGACTTTGCTAAGCAGCACCTGGGTCAGCACAATAAAGACGACATACTGATTATTCATGAGCCAGCGCCACTGCCAGGACCTGTGAAGGACCACACCACGCCCTCTGAGAATGGAGACGTGCCAAGCCCCAAGGCAAAGATCCCTTCCAAGAACGTCCGTCATAGAGGAAGGTTATTATCGGGCTTTCTGTGTCCTTCCCTGTCGCAGAGCACGTTTCTGTTTTCAGGTTGTCAGTTTCTCCATCAGAAGGGCGGCATCTGCAGCCTCGGAGACTGATGACTCGCCCGAAGTTGCCCACGAACCTGCTCTAACGGGCTGCCGAGGGGGCCGTATGAGTTTTTTCCCCCAAAGTGTTTAAGATCGTGGATCACTGTGATGGGTTGACGGTCCCCTTACACTTGATCAGGGATCAGCCAGCTTGAGGGTACTTACCCTGAGGGGAGCGTGCCGGGCTCTGTGGAGACAATGTCGGAAGCGGTGTAGAAGGAGCGCATGGCGCTCGGCGCACGCCCAGCCAGTACGGGCCTCTTTGCCCTCGCCTGTGATGCCGGTGGCGGGCTGAGACTTCAGGGCTTTTTCTGCAGGTGACCTTCACCGAGTCCTCCTGCTGCCCACGTTGTCACCTGTGCTGGCATATTACAGGGACTCTTCACCGCCTCCTCCCTGCCTAGCTCCCTGGTGCCAATTTATTTCCATTCCTCTATCACAGTAAAGCACGCGGAGAATTGCTTATTAGTTCTCCAAGCTGCCCAGAAGTCCCTCATCGCCCTCTGATCCCACGAGAAGGGCTGCGGCTGTGTTAAAGAGGACACAGTTCAGAAGCAGGTTCTGTTAAGTCGACTTTAGATCAAGGTACCATCAGGCTTTGGCTACTGGGCCTCACGTCGACAGCCTGCCTTTGAGCTTTGGAACTCTAAATCCTGATTTTTCTGCTAAGAGCAAAAAAGTGTGTGATCATAACAATATTTGAAACGACCTCATGGTTTCTATCTTAATCAGAAAACCTGCCTCAGGGGTTCCAGCCTCGTTTTAAGAATTTAATGGATGTTAGAGCACGATCTTTACAAAAGAAAATGAGTTATGTAGAGAGATGCTATTTGCTTAATTATCTTGCAGGCTAAGAATAAATTGAATCATTAAAGATTATTTAATACCCTAGTAAAATTTTATAAAATACTTTTTCTCTCAGCTGGTGGTCTCATCATAAGTTTAGTCATGTCATTTCAATGGTCTGTGGTAAATATACAATGTTTTAGCATCCCTTGGGAGCACCAGAATGTCTCGGTGCTTCACATTGCCATTGAAGCCAGGGAGCCTCAGGAGACAGGGTGCTAACTGGTTACAGATTTTCCCTAGCCTGGTGCAAGCTGGGTGCTGTGATGCCCTTGCTTTTAATATATAGAATCAAATCTCAGTAGTGGTCATCACCGAAGTGCTGTAAGTGTAGGTGCCTTTCAAAGATCTGGAGTTATTTGTAGTGACTGCAGAAGTACCCTAGCCTCTCAGGGATTCTGCAGTCCCAGTTAACCCTGAACCGGGCCTGAAAGCCAGTCCTCTTTGATCCAACTCATGCTAGACCCAGACTGTCAGTGTGGAAATGACCAGGAGCCAGGAGCTGGGCCCTGGGTCCTGGTAGCTGCGGGACCGTCCTCCCGTCTGGGGCAGTTAGTTTTCCGGCATTTGTTGAAATGCAGCCTGCTGAGCCACTTAGTAAGCCGTGCTAATTCGTCTTCGGGAGGTGACTATGCGGCATTAACGTGATCCCTGAAGATGCTGTACCATGAAACAATCTTTTGGACTGTTCCGTTTCTACTAGCTTTGCCCAGAAGCCTGACTGCCACATCCAAGTTAATGTGACCTTTATCTTTTTGTTCTTCCTTGTTGCTAATGTTTGCAATTTCTTTTGTGTCTGCAGAGTTTCTCCCTCAGACGCCGACTCAACAGTCAGTGAAGAGTCCAGTGACAGAGACGTGGGCGATAAGACGCCGGGAGCAGTCGGCGACGGCAAGTCCCACAGAGCCCCGCAGAGTGGTCTGTGCCTCTGCTCGTTCTCCACCTTGAGCGTAGTCGCTATGCATTCCAACAGGCTAGGCTTTTACCCGCTTCAAACGCTGAAAGTAAAAGTTTAAACAAAAAAATCTGCAAAATGAAATGTTCATCATTCATATGGTGAATTTCTCAGCATCAGGTGTCCCATCTAACGTTGTATTGGTGTCTGCCTTGAGGCAGGGGACTGGTGCCAGAGCTTGGGGACTCACTGAGTATGTTTTAAGGTTAATAACCTCACTTCATTGTAGTTTAGAGTCCTGACCAATTTTCCTGCCCAAAGGTCAAGGAGGAATCGCAGTGAAACCATAGTCTGAAAAACTGCCCCAAGATGCAGTGACTTTTTTAGGAACCAGCTCGCGGACGCCACAGCCTTCATTGTTAGAAAGTTATTTATTTTTCATTGGTCTAGGCCCATTATGTTTAGTCCTATTCCTAGATCTGTCTTCCAGAAGGTAGTTTAGTGTGATCAGATGGTTTAGCGTACTTGCCCTGGGGGTCACATGTAGCTTCGTAGCCAGGGATGAAATGAACCTCGCTGCCATTCTAAAGAATACAACCGTGAGACTGATGCCCCATAATAAAACTATGCCCGCGGGTCTAAGAAGACTTGGGAGTATTTTTTTGCATGCTGGCAAGGTCCCTTGGTTTTAGTTTAATAGATTCTATTAAATAAATGTGCTAATGTGGCTGTTACCTTTATGGGAGCTTTATTATATTTTAGGACTGTGTTTCAGTAATGCAGGGATAATTGGGAAGCCTCAGGATATTATTTTTTATACTAATTTTTATACTTAACATTTTTTAATCATGAATGTCTCTGTATGAAAATGTGCAGAGTGAACTGTATTCTATAAATGAGCAGATTCTGAACAGAAGCCCAAGGTCCTCTTCTATCACTGACATACTTGTGGCCTTGCAAATCCCTTGGCCTTCAAGGCTTCCATGGGACTAAATTACCTCGTCCTTGAGATTCCTTCCAGCTCCTTCCAGGTGGTTCTTTTATAATGTTAAGAAGGTATCCTGTTAGAATAAAGGAAATATTTTTTCTTTGGATCCTGTTCACAGAATCTTAAAAATCATTTAACGCCATGGTAACAGGTGCACTATTTCAGATAGACAGGATTAAAATCTGGTTTTGGTCCTGGGAAAGAAATATTTGAAAAAGAAAAATGAGCTCTAGATTTTCTCAATTTCTGTTCATTGCTTATCTGAGAAAACCTTGCTTTTAGTGCCTGCATCTAACTCCTTCTGATAGTATTACAACCAGTATATTCTACAAGAATAGCAAAAATCAAATACCACTCAGCGTATGTTCAGAATCCAGGTAGGAAGCCTTTCAGCTCTGGGACTGAGAGTGGACTGTGGATCAGATTCGAGGATCCAAGTGAATCAGATGTTTCTGTGAACACTGGAGGCTCAGGTGCTGCTATAATTTGAAGAGACACCAGAATCTGTGCATTATTTGCATGTTTTAGGAAGATAGTTTTCTCACTACAAATATCAATTCACTTTTAAAACTTTGTTTACTTCTTAAAAGGTGCCATAAGATAGCTTTAATGCTGCCATAAAGGTATTTTATTGCTTGCATAGAACTTAAATACCCTATAAAAAGATTCCGAGTTTTTTTTTTTTTTTTTTGAGACAGAGTCTCACTCTGTTGCCTGGGCTAGAGTGCCGTGGCATCAGCCCAGCTCACAGCAACCTCAAACTCCTGGGCTCAAGCGATCCTTCTGCCTCAGCCTCCCAAGTAGCTGGGACTATAGGCATGTTCCACCATGCCTGGCTAATTTTTTCTATATATTTTTAGCTGTCCAATTAATTTTTTTCTATGTTTGGTAGAGACAGGTCTCACTCTTGCTCTTGCTCAGGCTGGTCTCGAACTCCTGAGCTCAAACAATCCATCCGCCTCAGCCTCCCAGAGTGCTAGGATTACAGGCGTGAGCCACCGCGCCCGGCCAGATTCTGAGTTTTTATCATAGCTTTTGATTTATCTTATAGTTCACATAATAATCCTTTTCTTGCAAGTTGTAATGAAGCGACTTAAGAACCATTCTGGAACCTTCTTCCTCCATGTTGCCCTGGGACCAGTGTGCCCTCTCGCCATTGCAGGTGGCACAGCCACCAGCTCTATTTAGGCTCCTTGGGAAGGCTCTTTTTCTTTTTTTTGAGCCAAGGTCCACTCTGTTATCCAGACTGGAGTGCAGTGGCAAGATCATAGCTCACTACAGCCTTGAACTCCTGGTCTCAAGCAGTCCTCCTGCCTCAGCCTCCCAAGTAGCTGGGACTACAGGCATGAGCCACCATGCCAGCCTTGGCAAGGCTTTTGACAGCCATCCCAAGTCATCTGGATTTTTAAAGACCCACCTTGCAATGGAAGCTGAGTAAAGACCATTGTTTCAGTTTTGGTAAATTCACAGTCGTGCTTCATTCTTTTCCCCGCTGACTATTTTTTAGAAGGTGACTAGACCGTGATGCATGACCTTACAACCACCCGTGGACCCTTAAGAGATTATTCACTCAAATATCACTGTGTTCACTGTTATTGCAGCTTTAAAATAAGTCACCTCATTATAACTGGTTACCCTTACTGAAGATGTGATGGGAGAGACGAGGCAGGAGGTAACAGTGTTGCTGTGCTACCGTTGCTGTGTCCGCGCACAATTCCAGAGGAGCTCTCTCTCCTATCTATCAATATATCAAGTGTTCTTTTTTGTGGTGAGAAATACCAAATAGGTGAGGATTGTAAAATACAGAGTATTTTTTATACTTTTTAAGTAGTTAGAACTTCATTAATCTGAAATTCACAATTCCAAATTCTAGAATTCCATGTGGACACTGAGGTGACATTTACTTTTGCACATGCTAAAGAGTTTGCAAAGCAAATTAATAGTTTCAATGAGATTGACTCCATATAATTACAAAGTTTTTAAAGTAACTTTGGAGTTCCATTTATAAAATGATTAAGATCATAAAGTATAATTCTCATCTTTTCATTCAGGTATTTGGTGTTTATTGCCTCAGTCCACCTCTCTGTCTTCCAAGTGGTCATTAGATATGAAATGTCCGATTTCAAATTAAAAGTATAGTTTATTATATTTCAAACAAGAAACAGTACAATTAATCAAAGTATGCACCTAAACTGTCGACACAGTTTTGCTGTCTTAATGGTAGCTTGTTCATGCCAGCCGTGAAGAAACCTGGAGAGTGGGTGGCTATGAAATTGCGAAAGGTGTTTTTTCACAGCTTGTTGAGAATTGAATATTTTTCCTTGCAAGAAGTGGTCCAAAGCCTGGAAGAAGTGGTCGTCAGTGCAAGTTCTGGTGAATACAGTGGATGACAGAGACCTTGCAAGTCCAGCCTCTGTAGTTTGAGCAGCTTTGTTTGTGTGACATGTGGTTGAATGTTGTTTTGCAAGAGGATTGGCCTGTCTCTATTGACCAATTTCGGCTACTTAATTGTAAGAATCCTCATCATTTCGTCCAATTAGTTGCAGTAGACATCCGCTGTAATCGATTGACTAGGTTTCATGAAGCTGTAGTGGATAATATCAGTGCCGGACCACCAAAGAGACACCATTAGCTTTTTTTGATGAACATTCAGTTTTGGACTGTGTTTCAGCACTTCATCTTTATCCTATTGTGCCGAATGCTTGCAATTGTCAAAAAGAATCCATTTTTCATCACACGTAACAATTTGGTGTAGAAATGATTCACCTTTATGTCATGACGGCAAAGAAAGGCAAGCTTCGAGATTATTTCTCTTCTGATGCTCGTGTAATTCATGTGGAACCCATCTACCCAGCTTCTTTACCTTCCATTTGTTTCACATGGTCCAATATTCTTAGAATAGTAACGTCAAACCTCGCTGCTAATTCACGCGTAGGTTGAGATGGATTTGCTTCCACTACAGCTTTCAGCTCATCATTATCCACCTTGGTCTCAGGTTGCCCACGTGGCTCATTTTCAAGATTAAACTCACTAGAATGGAACTTCTCAAAACATCAACATACTGTGCGTTCATTAGCCACATCCTTGCCAAACACTTCGTCGATATTTTGAGCTGTCTGTGCTGCATTGGTTCCACGATGGAACTCCTATTTGAAAATAATGCAAATTTTTGACTTATCCATGATTTCACAAAAATTGCTCTAAAAAAAATTTGAAAGGTAATCACAAGCCTAAATGTGCATTTGAAAGACTGAGGATGTACCTTCACCATAAACATAGAACAAGAAGTGTCAAAGTGAAATGTCAGAAATATCAACTGTCAAACTTAATACTTAAGGAAATCGCACATGTCATACTTAATAACCTAAAGATTCCCAGGGCCTCTTCAAAGTCAACTTGCATAAACTTGGTTGCGGTGACTGTAGTCATTGAGTCGTCCATTCGGCAAGTGCTTACTAAGTGCCTGTGATGTGTTAGGTGCTGGGGATACAATGAAGATGAGATAAATGTGATTGCTGCCTCACAGGATATTAATGTGGTTGCTCGCATTAGTAAAGATGCGACTATATTTGCCTATAGATAATGAAATAATATTTCTTTAAAAATGTCTTGTTGCTTTGGCATTTCAGTAATTCAGACTGACTTTTCTTCTGTCATTCTGGTTTGTTGACATTAGCCTATATAGTACAATTTCTTTTTTTTTTTTTTGCTTAAGGAGCAGAAATTAATTTTCTTTTCTTAAGTTTTTATTTTAATCAGTAGGTAAAAATTGTGTATATTTATGGTATATAACATGATGTGCTTTTGCTTTTATTTTTAATTGACACATAATTGTACATATTTATTTCAGTACATGCATGCGATGTGTAATGTTCAAATCAGGGTAATTAGCATATCCATCACCTCAAATATTTATCATTTCTTTGTGTTGGGAACATTTAAAATCTGCTCTTGTAGCTATTTGAAAATATACAACAAATTGTTGTTAATTATTGTTACCCTATAGTGCTATGGAATGTGAGAACTTACTCCCCCTGTCTAGCTATGCCTTTGTTATCTGTCAGCCAACCTTTGGCCATTGCCCCTTCTCTCCTGCCCTCCCCCACCTCTAGTAAGCACTACTCTACTGTCCGCTTCTGTAACTTCCACTTTTTTAGCTTTCACATATGGGTGAGAACATGCAATATTTATCTTTATGTGCCTGGCTTATTTTACTTAACTTAATGTCCTTTAAGCTCATCCCTATTGCTGCAAATGATAGGATTTCATTCTTTTTTATGGCTAAATAGTGATGTTTGGATAAATGAATACATTGTGGAATGGCTCAATCAAGCTATTTAACATATGAGGTCTGTCCAGAAAGTATCCAGCCACGTAATAGGACAAATAGAGACATTTATTGAGGACAATACAAGAAACATTGTACATAGGACAAGGACGCCTCAGTCCCCTTCAAAGTAGGCACCTTGCGACCTCGCACAGTTCTCCCAGCATCTCTCACCCTAACCTGTACACTTTCAACATTCTCGGGTGTTCTGCTTGTTGCAGGCCTTCCAGAATGTGGATCACTTTCAAGAGATTCTCGACCATCTTTGAAGCGTTTGTGTCACACTTTTATTTGTGCTGCACTCATTGCATCGTCCCTGAAAGCCTTCTGACTCATCTGAATAGTTTCCATGGAGGAATGTTCAAGCTTAACTCAAAATTTGATGCGGATTTGTTGCTCTGCTTGCCCAGTCATTTTGAATGCGACGGCCACACAGTACCCATGCTCGCTCAGTGGCATCCAACGCCCCACTGACTAGTCCAGTGAAGTCATCATTGTTCACGTATGCACATCCCAGTCCGCTCGCCTTGGCTGCCAGGTTACTTTGATGTCGCGCTAACTGTTCTCATTGTATTAACAATGGCTGGCTACTTTCCAGACAGACTTGTGTGCATTACTTTACACACTTTTTTTTTTGTGGTGAGAACACTGCAAATCTCTCTTAGCTATTTTCAAATATATAGTATATTGTTACCAATTGTGGTCACCATGATGTACAGTAGATCTCTTGACTATATAGTGCAATTTCTTATCATTACTTTTTAAAAATAATATTTGAAGAGAAAGGAATTTTAATCCAAAGTCACTACTTGCCTTCAGGCCAGATTCACACAGCATTGATCTGTATGTGTCCGTTGTACTTTCCATTGGTCATTATTATCTGTGTAGTTTAAAAAAAGAAAATTGTGCGATGCATAGCAACCAACAACAAAAGAATGTATTACAAATTGAAAAAACCCTCTTTTCAGCCATTTCAAAGGGCTGGGCTCTAGGCAGTATGGAAGCCTGGGGCTTTTCGGTACTCCTTACCTTCCCCTCCCCCACTTAGCCCCTTAGAGGCCTAAGGCTTGTGCATCCCCTGCTTCTCCTATCACAGTTGGTGACCAATAAAGCAAGGGTCTGTGACCGCAGTGGGGAGAGTGTGGGCTAGGGGAGTGGACAGGAGCCCAGGCTGCTGCTCTGGTGGTACGCGGGCAGGGCTGGCAGCACAGTGCGGAGGGGCCTTTTCTCCTCTGCCACCTTTGTCTCCCAGCAACTCAGAGCTCTCAGCCACCCTGGAGGAAAAGTGATCTCCCCTTTCGGAATTGGTAGCTTAATGGGCCACCCTTTTTGACATTTGCTGTGACTGTGTAAGTTTGGTTAACAAGGCTAGCCTGTCTGGCGAGGCTAATGATCTCCTTTTAGGCATTATGCCTGCAACTTGAGTAGCTGCCACCAGATGAATGGTGGTGCCTGGCTGGGCTTGCACTGCACAGTCGGGCAGGCTCCTTCTAGGCCTGGGCAGGGAAAGAAAGCCTGAGGATAGCTGCAACCCAGACAACTGTGCCTCCTTGCTAAGAGAGACGTCATTCGTTCAGTCATAAAAATAATTTGTAATGGCTTAGGATAACAAAGAAATATAATGCAAATTGAGAGAACATACAAAGACTTACACACCACTGATGTGCATTCCTTATATGAAATATCAGCTACTATTGCTTACTGCTTTGCTCATCTCTGTCTTTTTTACACTGAGGAGAAACCTCTATGTTTTTCATTTACGCTTTTGTTTAAAAACAGCTTCTGCGTGCTCTTACTTCTTCTGTTGGTCTGCTGGTCGTTTATTTTAAAGCAGCATCCAGGTGATTGTAGCTGAGTAGAGGGAGGGAGGGTATTGGTTGATCTTCTTAGCGTGACTGACTGGTTCTTCCTATCTACTCAGCCTCTCTCTCTCTGTCTCTCTCTCTCCTTAAAACTAAAGTTTATTGGGATTATTTTTACTATAAAAATAATACTCATTAGAGAAAATCCCATTACAGATAATATAAGACATAGGAGAAAAGCACCTATTATACCAAGATTCAGTCTCTCTTAACATTCTAAAGTGTTTCTTTTCTGTCCTTTTTCTACACATTTAAATATCTTCTTTTTCTACATGTCTGATTAGTTTTCTTTTTTAAAAATTTATCCTGGTAAAATATACGTAACATAATATTTACCCTTTTAACCATTTTTACATGTATTCTTCATTTCTTTTTAAAGTGGGAACTAATTCCCTGCAGGCAACACCTTTTTCTTCTTATGTGTCTTCAACTTTGTTTTCTTTTCCACGTCAGAACAGAAAAGCCGGAAGTGGCCATTGTTCACTAGTACATGCCTGTGTGTCCCCAGTCCCCTTGTCTTTTGTTCTCTCAACAGTATCTCATTGCCTTGGCAATAAATTTATATCATTCCAGTGAGCTCCCTCACAGATGATAGTAGAAGTTCTGAGCTGCCGTAAATGTTTTTCCTAAAAGTTCTGTGAATTGTGTGTTGACTACCCAGCAAGTTCAGGCTCCTCATGTCCTTTACCTTTTATGGAAGGTTCTGAACCATATTAAGGCAAAACACTACAGTTTTTGAAACAGTGACATAATGATTTCCTCACATCTTTTCTGAAGGTATTTGTAATTTTGAATAAAGCTGGAGGAGACAATATTTAACTCAGACCATTTAAGCTCAAATAGTGAAATTTCAAGTACTCTGCCACTGGAATGGAGATATATTTTCTGGTCAGGAGCTGATCAAGGATTCTTTAAGGAATAATCCATAATTTGGATTATATGCTATTTCTTTAAGATGACTTTGTATATTTATTTTTTGCTTTTCCTTCTGCTCCAGGGCCAGCACTCCCCAGCTCAGGGAATGAGCAGCATTCGTCAGCCTCCATCTTCGAGCACGTAGACAGGATTTCCCGCCCCTCGGAGGCCAGTCGGCGGGTGCCCAGCAAGATCCAGCTGATCGCCATGCAGCCCATCCCAGCACCCCCGCTTCAGCGGCCCCTACCAGCCGACCGCGTGGCAGAAACCAACAAAATCAACAAAGAGGTATTTGTTTTCATTAAACAGGACATCATTAAAAATACATTCTGATTTGGTCAGTGCTTGAAATTGAGTGCAAGGTACAACGTCCACGGATTACTAAAGATATGAGTTACTGTCAAGGATTCTTAATTTGAAACATCACAGTCATTTTGTTTTAGATCAGGTGCTGTTCAAGGACACTGTTTGACAGGTAGGCAGATGTACAGAAAAGAGTTAACATGGCAGACCTGAACTTGCTCCCCTTAGAAAGTCCCACTTCTGTCCTTCTGATCCTCCTCATTCTTTAAGACCTAGTTCAAGTCCCATGCGGCTGATGGTGACGTGTCTCCATGTTTGTGGGTGCCACTCTGGGACTGTGGGGGGAGTCTCGTGCGAGGCGCTCGTGTGGGTAACACTAGGCGATCGTAAGTGGGTGTTCTGCTGTAGGGTGCAAGCGGCGTCTTTGCACTTATCGATTTTATTTAGAAATCTCTTGAGGAGTGATGCTAGGTATGGAAAATATTTATTCTCAGGCATATTATATCTAGTTATTAGACATACGTGTCTTCAAAATTGTCACTGGCCAGTTTCCAAGGTTGGAGTGAATTTTTTCCCCCGGACAGTGAGTGATTAGACTTCCTCCAGGGCACCACGCAGTGTTGGGAATAAAGCTCGTTGGGGTGGCAGGGTCCCTGCTCCTCCGGGGCTGCGCCTGTGCTCGCGTCACCTCCGTGGAGGCTACAGACGGCAGGTCAGGGGTGGGGCAGGGGAATGTCGCAGCAAGGTGTTCCTAAGGGGCTTTGCACGCGCGTGTCTCAAAATCCCCTGAGGCCATCCGTGGCTGTCATTCCGTCCCAGATCCAGACGGCGCTGCGGCACAAGTCCGAGATCGAGCACCATCGCAACAAGATCCGGCTGCGCGCCAAGCGCCGCGGGCACTACGAGTTCCCGGTGGTGGACGACCTGTCCTCGGGTGACACCAAGGAGCGACACCGGGTGTACCGCAGGGCGCAGATGCAGATTGACAAGATCCTGGACCCCACGGCCAGCGTCCCCTCCGTGTTCATAGAGCCCAGGAAGAGGTGGGCAGGACGGCCGGTGGGTGGGCGCGCCGGTGCCACAAGGAGCAGAACGGGAGCCCCTCTCTGCTGTCGTAGGGCCTGTGACAAAAGGGCCCCGTCCATTTTCACGTGAAAGTCTCTGAAAACGAGTTGGAGAGGTGTAGAAAGGCTGTTCAGGCTGCTAGGAGGACTTCGATCCCACCCCGAGGTGTAGAAGGCCCCTGCTTTGTTCTGTCCTCTGCGCCGCCACTTGTCTCCGAACGTTTTCTCTGGGTTTAAGCTATCTCTGCACACGTAGCATGTCTAAAGCTGTACTCATCCTTTCCTTCTCAAAGCAGCTCCTTCTGTAGCTTCCTGGGCCCTTCCCGCCAACCTGTTCTTTCACTTCCGTGTTTCACATCCTGGGGAGCCGCCGCGGGAGTGGGGTGGGGGGGACCCATGTGTTTTCTCACAGCCGCCTGCAAGGTCTGGGGTCTTACCTTCCCCCACCCGGCCTCCCAGGCTCCTGCCCCGGGACGCAGATGTATTTTCTTTAAATGCTGCTCTCGTTTGTGGCTTTCTCTGCTCACATCCTGAGATGGCTTTTGTTGTCTGCCATGTGGAACCTGTGCTCCTGTCGCAGGCAGGGCCTGCCCTCCCTCCCAGCTCTTTCCCACTGTCTGCCACGTAGACAGTACCGCCACCCAGGAGGCGGGCACCTCCTCGTTCCCCAGACAGTCACCAGCTTCCCCTTTCCTGCCGCATGCTGGTACCTGCCCCTCACATCCTCCTCCCACACGCTCCCGGGCTGCAGGGCCCACTCACTGGTCAGATCCAGTTGAGGCCGGGTGGAGCCAGCGTGGCGTTGCTGGCTCACATGGACCTCTTTGCTTTCTGGACATCCAAATATAACTGAATGACGTTATGATTAGGGATTGCCTGGTATTATTCTCCGTTGTTCCATATGTGTTGATGAGTCTGTTTAGGTAGGCTCTGAGCTTCCTTAGAGCAGAAACCATGTCTTACAAGTTTGTATCTTACAAGGTGTTTAGCAGAGTGGCCAGCACATCGTAGGTACTAAGAAAATGCTTAGCGCTTATTTGATAAGCCAGTGGTAAGAGGGTTATTTCTTACGAAGATAATTTCTTTTTTTCCTGGCAGTTCACGGATAAAACGGTCTCCTAAGCCTCGCCGGAAACACCAGGTCAACGGCTGTCCTGCTGATGCCGAGAAGGACAGACTCATCACCACGGACAGTGATGGCACTTACAAAAGGCCGCCCGGTGTCCACAACTCTGCCTACATTGGATGCCCAGTGCGTCATGCTGATTTCCGCTTCGGGACCCAGGGAGGGGTGGCGCTCAGGAAGATGTGTTGATGGGAGAGGAGAAAGAACGGCGGTGGCTGCTGCCCTGTGTGGCGGCCGATGCGCCAGGGCCAGCTGGGTCGCAAAGCGTGTGGGTGAGGGTGGCCGCTCCTTTTCAGGGGAGACTTGAGTCATATCAACCAAGGGGCTGCTGAGATGCCTCTGGAAACATACTCGGTGTTCCTCCTTTCTGTATGTAAGCTTCTCTCAGGCTTCAGAATGGGAACTTCCTGAGGTTAATTGGAAAACAGAGAGAGAGAGAGACAGAGAGAGAGTAATGTCCAGGAGGTTTTTTTCCTTCCCCCAGTCAGAAAGTTGTTTGGGTTTCTTGATGATAGGAGGGTTATTCAGGGTTTTGTTCCCTCTTCCTGCCCTCAGAGTGCAAGAAGATAGTGTATTTGTGTGTGTGTGTGTTTTATTTATTTATTATTTATTTACTTTTATTTTTATGGGACAGAGAGCTTAATGGAAATTAAGAAATGAGGAATGAATCATTTTTTTTCAAACTGAAAGGGGCACAGACTGAGTTTCTTAAAGTGTTAAAGGCAGACATTGATAGCATTAAGACACAAATACACAGACCCCATTGAATAAGGAAGAAGAGCCAGCCTCACCGAGGGGCTTTGAGAGACACAGACACAAAGACATCCCACGGCAGAGCGGGGCAGCCAACGCGCTCCTCAAGCCCTGTGCCAGGGCAGTGACCCTGCCTTGTTGCACGAGGCCCCTTCCTCTTTCTGGAGGCAGACTCGCAGGGCTAGCCTTGTTTAGAGAGAATTTAGCAAAAGGGACATCCTTGGAGATGGGATTTGTGATTTACGTGCTCACTTTAGGTAAAGCTTCTGCAGCCTGCCATTTCTCACTATTTCTTACTTGAGGTTTATGTTTTTCTTCTAAATTACACAAATAACTAATGCTGAAAGAAACTAAATACAATTAAATGTGCCAAAGATCCACTGTCATGAGGCCTAAACGTAACTGAATCATCATCATCTGAAAGAACCAGACTTCCCTTGGGACCTTCCTGTATTTTTAATGTCCTAAAGACTGACTGTGACCTTCATAACCTACTCATGAGAACCGGTGTGATTCCAGAGAGTTGGAAAGTCTACACACCAGACTGTTCTCCTCCTCAGTAGAACAGATGGAGTAGTTTCTGTTACTTTAAGCTCCTCCGATGAGCTGCCAGATTTGCTGGCAGTTCTCGCAGTAGGTGGTGCTCTTGTTCTGCCCTTGGGTTTTTGGAAAGGTGTTTGTCTGGACTGGGTTTGATTGGGGTGGGGGGGGGGCGGTTGTCCCCTTGGCACCCCCAGGTAGTCACCTGGAGCTTTTGTCTGTCTGGAGCAGGGACTTCTGTGGTGTGGAGCTAAGGAAGGGAAGGAAGGACAGAGTCCCCTCCCTCTTCCCTGCGCTTGTGCCTGGGCTCACGCTCTCAGGGGAATCTCCAGGGAGCCTTCTCAGTCCCTGTCTTCTTTCCTAACTAGCCCCGAGTTCCTTCATGCGGCGCCACTTGGTTTTGCACGGGGAATAACCTGTCTCCCCCTGCTTTCTTCATCCACCTGCATCGATGACCCTAACTTGGGCCTTTTTTGTGGCGGCTCACATCGTCTGGTTTTTCTTCCTTTTTTGCTTAGCTGAAAGGTGCAGCGGTTCCTCTTCCATTGGGTAAAATGAAGCTTTTCCCGGAGAACACTACCTCAGTCGGCTGCTTGTCTTTGTGGCTCCTCTTTTCAGATTCCCTAACATGACAGTCTTTCTCAGATGGGCCTACTTTTCACTCTTCCTCCCTAAAAATTCTGAAATGCACACTTTCAAAGATAATGTCTTTCTCAGAACTCACTCGCCTTTTCTAAGATTATTTTTCGTCTTCAAGGCCGTTCTGGGGATGTTCTACATGTTTTTCAATTACCTTGAGCTTTCCACTTTCCCTTCAAAATATTTTCTCCTTGGCCGCTCATGCCTGAGGGCCTAGGGTCCTCAGCTCCTAGGGCAGAACCTCTGCTCTCTTCAGTGTCTGCCGCAGTCTCTGTGATATTTGGGCTTATGGAGCCTCTGCTACCATAAAGGACTCTTCTTCCATTGGTTCCCTGTTTTGTCTCTTGTAGTTTACCCAACGTACATTATGACAATGTTTTGCTCACAGTGCAGTATCAGTCAGTGAGATTTTTAAAAAGTCTTCGTTATTTATATTCCTGCCTCTTAAATGGTGGGTATACAATGTGGTTCAAACCTTTCTTAATGACTCATGTTACCCAGAGATACCTACATTTTAAAGAAAAATGTTTTTTGGATAA